CTGTTTAATGGTACTTATGTATATAACAATGTAGTGTATACAATACAAAATATCGGAATTGATGTACAGTCTTTCGAGTAATTTTGTATTTCCTGTTTTTTAAATACTTTGTACGGGTTTGTGCTTCACTGGATTTCCTTTGAGCTTCTAACAAGCTCCAAAAGTACACAATAAATATTTGGTAGAACCTATTTTAAGCTCTTAAGTACTGGGATTCAATTTGCAATTACAAATCAACACAAGCACTTCAAACCTGGCAAATTTGCCATGGAGAGATTTTCCAATCAACCGCAGCAGAAGAGCCATGAGAGTACCAAGTATCTCACTATTCATTCAAGAAGAAACAGCATAAAAAGCAGGTTAAAAAGAAGAATCACTCAAAGCAAAATTTGACTGGTTGAATTTTGGGAAGACTGATAATAGCAGTTTCTGAAAGTACACACACGGCTTGTCACTTATACAAGTCTATTTTAAATAAAGGTCAGTTGAACCTGTAAATGTTAGATCTAGTTCCAATTTTAACCCAGGTTAGATGATTGGATCTGGAAGTCTAATTTTTCACCACTTTTGAAGTTCCTTTATCTGTCAATATGTCAAACTCCAGGCACCAATACGGTTATTGGTCTTTTCCAACTACTAATGTTGAGTCTTCCCTAATGATGAGACTTTAGGAAAAGGAGAAGGCTGTAAGCTTTTCGCTTCATTTTATGAAAGAGGAATACAACAAACCTCTGATTTCAATATATATGTACCCCAGGAGTATATCTACTTCTAGCAACATCAAAAGAGAGTCCATTATAGGGATTCTTTCTTGACCAGCAAGCCATGGGGATCTCGACCATAAAGGTTTAGGATCAACACGCCTGAACACTTGTATGATTAGTAACTATGCAAAGTAAATTTCCTCAAGGAAAAGGATTTATTGAAAACTGATACTTGCCAGACATTTGAAAAATGAGATTTCATCCCCCTATATTATTTTGCTATACAATCTCTTTAAACAGTAGAGATTTTATGATACCTTCTTGTTCCAGGAAATAGAGCACTGTGAAGCACACAGTGTATAACCGTAATAAAAAGGCTCCCAGAATGTTTGTTTTAATATGGTTGCAGAGAGGAAAGTGTATTGCTTAGATATGAAAAGTACTGGTTAACAAACTTGGTGCCCATTATCCACAGCTCATTGGCTTGAGCCACTTGACTCACTGGTTGGCTGCAGACTGGCTTTGCTCATTTGGGAGCAAGCAGAGCAACCCTCAGGTTTATCTGTCCCAGGGCTGCTGAAAAGGAAAGAGCTGTGCAGTGTTACGTTGTGCCCCCTTTGCAGTGACGGACAGACAGTTTGGCAAACTCAAGGGCTCCTGAAAGAGCTTGTCCACATTCCAGGAAAACGGAAAGACAGGTGAGAAGGACATTTAAATATATTCCCGTTTCTAAACAGACCAAGGTTAGTTTAAGGCTTCCTGGACAGCAGTTCAAACTGGCCACAGCTAGTGGCCAAACTACTTGAAAACTTCCACCTTAAACTAAAACCCTTTCCATTTTTTTGATATTCAAATGCAAGCTACAAGAACAACAGTAATTAATCAAACACTATTTCACAGCGTGGACGGATTGTTGACCCAATGAAATCAAACTTTCAGTTTACTGTAAAAAAAAAAAAAAAAAAAAAAAAATCAGACTCCAGTTATCCCTTTCTGGAACAGTATAGCACTCTCAAATCCAAACTGACCTGTCAAGAGACTTGATCCAACCTGCTGAAAAGAAGAATGTATGAGGATAGGTTACAGTAGCTACAGTAGCTTCCTAGCATCCTCTCTCCTGAAAACTTCAAATGGGATAAGGAAAATGACATGGTCCAAGAAAAGCTGTTCCACAGAACAGATGTGTAGTTGGACTTGTACAATAATGTTTCCTGCTGGGTTGGTTAAAATTGCGTATTTAGGAAGTCATAAGATTTGTGAAATCAGCAATTTAACAGAAATCCAATTGTGATTATTTATATGGGGGCTGTTAACTACTTAAGATAGCTAATTATAATACAGACTTCAGAAACAACATTTTAAATTAAACCAATAGCATTTAAAAAAACACAAACCAACAAAAAACTCCACACAAAGAAAAAAAGTTATTCTCTACCATGCTGGTTATTTTCTTGCCAAATATTATATATTATTGGCTTACTTACCTCTGTCTTATATGACAGAAATACAGAATTCTACTGCTAGCCAGGTGGTCTAAAACTTGTTCTGATTCCTCCATTTCCCATACACCGAAGTCAAATGGGGCAGTTTAAGAAGCTGTCATGCCTGAGCTGAGCATTACTTTTACCCAGCTACAGTGTTTCTGACACTGGTACTGTCTGCAGGTGTGAGGCACTTACACAAAACTATTCTGCCAGAATAAAAGTGGAATAATCTGGGCCCATATTGTGGTAGTATATTTAAACACAAGGATAATGACATTTCCGAGAAACTCTGATGAGTCTTATCCAAAACAGTAAATAACGATACTATTTGCTCTGCAATTTCACAGCAATTATTTTTTCCTTTCAAATACAATCTCAATAACTTTATACAGAACCCAGAACAACTCCCTTTTTCTGATCGTGTAGTGCTTTACCGTAACAGCAGTGTATTTTCAAAAATGCTCCATCTGAAGCTTAGGAAATTATACTGGCTACTAGGATACCTTAATCGGAGCGTTCTTATCAGTGTGTCTCCAGACTAATAAGAAGAAATCCAATCTAGAGCCCACTGAACACTAAATTAGATCTAATCATCGGGCACTCTTCCAACTGTTCAACAGCAGGTCTAAAACCAACAAATGCCATTTATTTTTTTCATATCCATTAAAATACTACAAGCAATCCAATCATAGCTGTTTCAAAGCCATGATCAGTAAAGTGTGCAGACTTTTGTTTGCATTTAAACCATGATCTTTCAATACTCTCTTTGCCAAGAGCTACTTTACATTCAAACACTTTCAAGAAGACCCTGAAAGGCTCCAGAGCCACAATACTCTGGGAATCCTATAATGGGGCGACCTATTCACGTCTTCTCAGGTTGAAGTGTTTAAATATCTGAAGTACAACACCTTTTAATGATTCTCTGGCATATAGATTTTGCCCCCTTAACAAAAAGGCATCACTTGAGCTAATTCAGGAAGTTACTGCATCTGGGCTTAAATATGTAATTCATTGAAAGTCTGCACTGCATGCACACAAGGACTATAGTATAAAGGCATTGAAATGTGCTTAATGCTTTATGCGAAAGTTCTAGACCCACCGTGAGCCATGTGGCCAGGGCTAGATAGAGCAACAGTGCATCACTTTGAACTTGTAACCATAAAAATATTTTATTGGGGGGGGAGGAGTATGATAAAGCTCTTATTTTTCTAATATAGTTTCTTTCTCAGAGGTCAAAGTGACATGTTAAGTTTTAGCTCTGCTTTTGCTTGCAAGTCTTCATTGTACCGAACACAGCCTGAGTCCGATAATGGCAGTTGTAGCATGCCAGTTATATCAACGCATACCGAGTCCCGGCTTCTACGCACTTCCACGCTCACTGTTCTCACACATGGCAAACTACCTCCCCTCTAAAAACCCAGTCTTCTCTTACCGCACAGGCTGGCCATGAAGACAGTGAAGTACTAACAAACTTGTGAGGTGTGGGATAGGAGAGAGGAAAGGAGCTGCCGGAAAAAGTACGTGCCAAAGGTAAAGACAAAATAATTGGCTGTGTGCAGGAGGAGATGAAAAGCTTCCCACTGTCGCAGCTCAAGGATTGTCATAACCATATGTGATCCTGCTTGTCCTTCTCTAGAATAGCGTGGTCCCAGTTTGCAACTAAGATCTTACGGATAAGTTACACATCTGAATAGTCCTGCACTTAATATATAGAGCAATTACCACTATTTCATATTTTAGTTCTTCAGCTTTGCTCAGGGATTTCTAATCTAAATCTATGCTTATTTTTATATAGCATGTAAGTGCAGCAAAGACTGCAATCATAGAGTGACACATTCAATGGTAATCATGAACTTTTGGATATTAATTTCTGGTTATGTCAGCATAGCCAGAAAGACTTACAATAACATGTCTAAAAGCTACTTTTATTTTGTATTTTATATAATTTATTGTTTGGGGGTGGAGGGCTGTATGTGATATAAACCAGAATTGATGAATTTATTATATATCACCTTCACTGTCTGAGTGCATCATCCATGATGGTAATCAGAACATTGGGAATATACATTAAGCTCACTTCCCTTCTGTTCCCTCTACTGACTGGCTGAAATAGTAGCCGATTTCCTTCTCTTTGAATGAGTTACTGGTTCCCAGTGGGATTATGGAGACAAAAGTGAGTGAAACTTCCAATTTCACATTTGTCTTAGGAAATTTTTTATGCTACATTAATAAATACTGAAGAGTGTGTGATATATATCTTACCCCTGATCATGACTGTGTGTTAAATCACACATGACATAAAATACTTGAATACACAATATATTCTGAAATAATTTCTCTTGCAACTAAGTCACATGTGGCATAATAAGAATATGGAACTGAGCATAGCTCGCAACAGTAAGACCTTTCATACACCATTTTGCCTGCATGTGCAGGTACTTGCAGCACAGTAGCTCTCAAGGATCTAGATATTCAACCACAAATGCTAAATGTGTAAAAACAATCAGATGGTATCCCCACCCACACATCAGCCGGTGACCAAATTTCCTTTCTTGGACTTCACTGAGTCTCTCATTTCCTCCCCACACTTAAATCCTCTGTGTCTATCACCTATTATACACACTGTGCTAGAAAACTGTTGGCAGTTTTTTTCTTCCAGTCCTTGCCCCCCTCTTGCCTGACACAGAAACAACAGACTGTCACGTCCCAGTGAGTTTTCAGTGGAAAAGGTGATTATATTAATGCCAGAAGCTGAAAAAACAGTAAATCTAGCTAGTCTGTAAAATAAAGAAGAGGAAGGGATCATACTCACAGCAGCTGCAGAGACACAAGATCATCAAAAAGGCCCTGGGGAATCTCTGTGATCTTGTTTCCATAGAGCACTCTGAAAGATACAGGAAGACAAAATAAATCTTAAGTAACAGACCAGTTTAGTGTCCTCCCACATCTCTGCATTATCATCTTTATTGATCTTGTGCACCATGCCCAGGATCTGTGGGCATTTCATTTAACTACTGATCTCATTTGCTTTTCAGAGAGCACATGGTATTAAATGAGTCGTTATGATTCAGGCTTCGTCTGGTGTTGGAAAGCATTTTTAATGTAGAAACTGGAGATAATCCAAAAACCGTATCTGAAATATTTTTCATTTTGTTGAGGGATTTTTTTCCCCCCCTTTTTAGAAATATTTTAACCATTGAAAGGCACATTGTCTGATGCAAAAACCTAGAATTCTGCTCAGGGATACCAAACTTAAAAGCCAGGGAGCACAAGCTGCTTATAGATAAAATTTCGTATAACTGAATCTCTTAAGATATAATAATTGGCACGACATGTGACACAGGCATCATTGGATAAAATAGTACAGCTCCACCAGCTGCTGTTACAATTTTTGAGCTTGCTAATATAAAGAAATTTAGCCTGAACTGGAAATAGAGATATATTTCAGAACCTCAAAAAAATAATTTAGGTATAGTTTAGTTACAAAAATCAGTAAAGATTTAATAACACAAATGAGAGTCACTGTATATATCTAGTCAACCATAAATATATATGACCTGATATCCATGATTCAGATTCTATATTAAAAATATTTCCTTTTTTAATGAAAAAATGCACATATAGTATCATCTGAAATTGAACTGAAGGGAAAAGCAGACAAAACCACCATTATGCTAAGATGTGTCACCTAGGGATCAGAGCAAAATCATACATAACAGGGACACCTGAATTTCAATCATGGCTGAAGTATGTAGTCATGTCATTTCTGCACATTAATAAAATTTGTCAAAACCAGAAAGTGAATTAGGAGCTTATCTGGGTGCTGGTAAAAGGGAAGAACATTAGGCTCCCTCTGAAAATTTCACAGCTTAGCTAAACGTTTTAATAGACTTCAAGTTGGGGAAAACAATATATATGTAATTTCCATGCTCTACATAGGGCACGGTAAATGGTTATGGACCAGCTCGTGCCAAAATTCTGTTGCTCCTGAGTCACTAAACTGGTTAACTCCCTAACTTTTTAATGTGGAGTAATATGCTGGATGCTGGCTGAAATCCTGATTTACCGTGTCTTTCAACATTTAAAATATTATGGTGAGTTGAACATACTGAAAAACAAACACTTAGCATGACGGACCATTTACAATACCCTCTGGCCTTCCCAAAGTATCGACACTTCAGTTTACTCTTCATCAATCATTGGAAGTATACCACCTCTGTGGGAGGGCTCCCAGATCAGCTCATTTCTGAGCCTAAATAAAATTAATCTAAATAAAATACCACCACTTAGATATGAAAATCTAAACTCAAAACTTTATTTTTCATTACTTTTGTAGTTGAGCATGAAGTGAACTGCTACCCAGAAAACTAATGATCATCTAGCATTATGTTTTCTCTAATATAATTTATATGTATCTATTGCAGAGTGAGGAGGTTGGCTTTTAATGTGCTGTTACAGCTATTGGCTCTTGTGCATAATGAAAATGAATGCTAGTATCACTAAATTTTTCTAACCGCTTCCTAATTTCAGAAGACACACACAATTTCCTACTTCAACAAAATTTCATGCAATGTATGCAGATTTTTATACTCTACCCAAAACTAGACAGAAATGATGGCTGAACTTTGAAAGGTCTAGCAGGTCCATTTAGATAGCAGTTCCAAAATATGAGATAATATACAAGTCAGTGGAATTTCACTGGGCTCTAACAGAACATCCAAATGGCTGACTCACAGACCCCCTTCTGAACAGAGTACCTGATGGGAGCACCCGTAACAGGAAGCAAAAGCAAAACCTCTGCGAACAAAATATTTATAAAAGGTTAAAATTTTAAGTTAATGGCCACAGAACCCAGTAGATTTCCATTTCAGTTTCCACTCTTTCTGAACAACACTTCTTCAGCACGTGCACCGCCTCTGTGCAAAGTTTAGATGATAAGCTCTGTGATGTAAGATGAACGTCTTCCTTAGTTTTGTGGAGCAGCAGGATCATCAATGCTGATCAGTAATACATAATGCTGTAGCATATAAGAAAGAGTTCAGAAGCTGAGTTTTACAAAATGCCCATGGAAGGAAGTAAAAAAATCCCCACTCCAGATGAAGGGGTATTCTGGCTGTAGAGGTAAGAACACTTATGTAAAATAAAACCTTAGAGAAACCTCAACACTCACACCCAGTGCAGTTGTTAGCTATGGCACTACTAAATGCAAATGTCAAAATAAGACTCTTATTAGAGTAATTTTTCACTTACTTTTGATTTAAGAGTCAGAAGGTCACAGTGGAGTGTTCCACTGAATTTGAAACCTTGGATGTGTTTATACATCCTCTTTATTATTTTGAGCAAAATAGGACTAATTAAAACAGCTTATAAGATAAAACAAAGCTTCAATTTTTAGAAGCCACGAAAAGAAAATAAGCATTTTCAAACCTAATTGGGCTTATGTGCATGTGGCACATTAACACTGGAACAAATTAACAGCTAAACAAAAGTCAGTATGAGAGCTCAGGCACTTGTCTCTAATTCATATTCATGTTCAGCACTACACAGAGCCAAATTAGCTAATGCCATTGTCTGCCTGCCATGCCAGAGCTGAAGTCAAACAGTCCTACAGAAAGGAGCAAGGAGGAGGGGAGGGAAGATACATAATGCATTGCATCTCATTTCTTGAGTTCCTTATTTCCATTTGCTCTAATAGAAAGCACAGAAGCTTTTGCTTTCCTCAGAGTTCTCATTTTTTCCTGTTTAAGACAGGAAAGCATACTCATACCAACAAATATGAATATTGGTCAGGTTCTTGATCCAAGACACTTTTGTTCTGACTGTACCAACAGCTGCACTCCTAGCAGTGCTATGAATGAATTAGCCTGCAGAAGAGACTGGCCAGGGTAGGTACACTCCACTATCGCAGCCACTTTCCTCTACGTCCTGTTGTTCTGCCCATCTCACTGGCACACACTGCAATGTTTCCAGAGTAGCAGCTTTGGGGAAAGAAGAAACCAAACAAAAACTCCAGACAAAAAAATAACTTCAAAAGGCCACATAACAGGAAACTCAGCCAGTCAATTCAAGAACTTCGTTTAAATCTCCATGCTTTTACCAACAGAGATAAATTTTAGGAGGTTTGCCTATGGCATTACAAGTTCTAAAAATGTACGTTCACTTGCATCCCTCACATATGTTGCAGGACATGCAGGTGCCCTGGCTACCATGCAAGTCTGGCACAGGAACACAACCCTCCTTCTGTCCCCTGGCACCTGAAATTTTAGACCCAAAATATTTTTTTATTAAAAATACACTAACAAAGTTAATATGCAATAAAAATAAAATCAGCTCAGTAACTGCTGCCAATAGACAGTGAATCAGAATGACATTTATTAGAACACAAAAAAATTACTAACATTTTTATTGTGTGCTCCTGATTGTTTGTTTGCTTCTCAACTTTGCTGGGAGACCAAGCTAGCCACAGGTCTGAAAAATGCCATTTACTGTCAGGTGGAGAAGATACTACCCGAAACATGATGCACATTTTGGAAGAAAGAGAAAAGTGAGCTATAGTTTCATTCTACTGTCACAATGTTAATTATAAAAGTAGTAACTAGAGACTAAGCCAAAACTGATGGAGACACCAGTAGGTATCCTTTTTCTTACTGTTCCTTTTTTTCTCCTCTCACCACACATGGGAGTCTCTTTTACAAAGATGGAAACCAGTCTGAATGGAGAAAACAGTCATAAAGATGTGCAAACACATCAGACTTGCCAGTGCATGAATTTTATTCTTGTCTTCTCTACAAGGCAGGTATATCTTATTCCAAAATGACCAGTGTGAAGAATCATTCACTGGATTTTTAGCTCAAGCAAACTTTTCTCAAATTTTTTACCGGTGGCTTTCTAAGATCGGCAAGTTGCTGTTACGGCACAGGTGCAGCTGAGCCATCCGAGGGTTATATTCTTCGTGGCATGTAGAACCATCAGTTTGCCAGTTCACAGCTAAAAGCTTTCAGCATGGCCACAAACCATAAGCTGCAGTTCTTCAAAAGTACCTGGCAGATTGGCTCGCAACTTGCAGCGGTTTTCATGCTGCCATCAACCTTCCAAAAAATGGGAAGGACAATGCACATAAAGCACAGACCCCTGGCTGCACTGCAAACATTGGAGGAGATTCCTGGAAGAAGCACCCTATTAGGCTAAAAAGTCATCATGGATCTGCAATAAGAAACTATACAAATATATAAAAGTCATAACGAGGTGTTGTGTTTCTTCAGCCCGATTCTGGCATCGTATTTTAATATTACCCCAAAAATGTATCTATTCCAAGACACAATTAAATATTAAATTTCCGGCTATACAATTAATTGTTACTACTAAACTTCAAGTTTTGGAGATTAATCCAACTGATGTTCTAAGTAGTTAAAAATAAAGATTAAACAGTGAAAATGATCACTGCACAGATTCATCTAAAAGCTTAGGACATACCAGACAAAGAAAGCATTGGAAGCTCACGTAGCAACAGGTATGTTATCTCGGGTGAGAATGTAATTAAGCATGTAACAAACCTTCAGTGGCAGAGTCTTGAAACATTAGTGTCTCACCGATTCTTCTAGACATTCTGACCTCTTCAGCAATTTTAAAATCAAGGAATTTGCAATGACTTTACCAACACATGGCCTTTCATGTGCACTGAAGTTTAGCATACCACCTTCTACGGGTGTGAAACAGTAATTGCTGTGCTGTCTTTGTTTTACGGCTCATTGGCCTACCTTACTCGCAAATGTAGTTGCAGTTTAGCTACTTTGTTAAGTCAGATCCCAGAATATAGAGATTTTTCCCTGGAAGGTGACACAGAACTTTTTGGGGGTATGAAAGCCTAGCACAGAATCCGTTTCT